TCCTCTGAATGACCTTTTCAACATCTACATCTGGCAATCCCCATACAGAACTGATGGCCACACCTGCTTCAGAAAACCCTTTTTTTTCTTTTTTAAAATCACAGAAGTGCTGCTTCAAAAATCCCAGCACAGAAACTTACGCTTTTATTTTCTATAATTGTTTCCAGGTTTTTTTTGCAAAAACACAGCAGGATTCCCCCGCCTTTACCTCAAATGGTACATTTTGCTCCTCTGTTTACAGCTATATCGATCCCGAAGAGATTTCGTGGCCTGAAGCGTCACATTTACTCTATTATTTCTGGCTTTATGTCTCTAGAACTCGCAGTCTTTGACTGATAGGTTATGCTAGATGAAAACCTGGCCCTTTTAGCCTTAATTATCACGTATGCAACAGTTAAGAAAAAATACTGCAGACGTGGTAGTTACTTTCACAGCTTGGATGACTGAAAGGCTGCAAGAAGTTTTTCCATGCTTTGTGTACTCACTGTTTTCCTTCCCTAGGTCAGCAGCGATACAGAAAAGCTCTGCAAGTCCACGTTATTTGTTGGTGTGCTGCACAAGGTAAACTTTCATCCAATTTGACATTATTTGTTCTACCCAACATGGGCAGAACAGAGAACAGTATTTAAACAGGCAGTACTTAAAGAATCCTTTTTGCGTGCTTGTTTAAACAAAGTACTTTAACAATAACGTTCACCTTGATTATGAGTGTTCCATTTCCACAGATAACTGGAAAACTGCTGTCTATTATAAAAGCTGGACTATGCAAATCATTCTACCACTTGTGTAAATATCAACAAAAACTGAACTCTCACTTACAGAGAAGCAAAGCAGAAGGGCCTTGTTCCTACTGGGAGCATGGAGCTCTAAAAAAAGTTATTCGCTCATGGGATGACAGCTAAATATATGTTGTAAAAAAAATCTTATGTCAAATCTTTGTTGCTTGTAGTTAACTGAAGCTTAGGAAGTGCCCAATTGTCACTGTTAATTACCATGTTATTAAATCCATCCTGTTTGCAAGCTTCTCTAAGGTTCGAGACCAGTTCCTACCGCTGATTCATCCCCTCCCACCCCCAAAAATGTAAGTATGACTACAACATATTCTTAGGAACAGCATCAATCTTCAATGGCATTTACTTACCAGAGGCAACACAGCTGTGCCACAAAATGAAGGTACTACAGAGTTCCATGGCAACTACCAATGCATCTGAAACACTTATATTTGAGGTTTTTCCTCCTCTTCGTCTTTTCTTGCCAGCTATCCTGCTTACAGAGTTTGCAGTAAAAATAATTCTTAGCAGTTAACCTGTCTTTCGGGTGTCTTCTAGAATCTCAGCTGTTTCTTTTTTCGTGACACTTGAAGCACTGTGAATCAGGTTATCGTAAAGTTAGAAATTCAAATATTTATAAGACAGCTAGCCACCTGACTGATACCCTGAATCTTTTCCACAGATCAGGTATTTATAGATGGGCATAAGCATTTTTAAATACCTCTGCTGTTCCAAGTGCTGTAAACAAACACGAGTACTATGCCAACAAGAATCTGTGGGAAAACTTGAGTGATGCCTGCTCACTATACCCACCTCATCACAAATTCTATTACTCATTCCTTTTAGTAAGCTCTAATCTAGGTTATTATACCACACCCATCGCCATGGGAGCACGACTTAGAAGTACCAGAAACACTTTGCTATTCAGCTTTTTCTCACGACTTGTAGTGTGGTCCAACTGCAGTTTCGATACAGGAAAAACATTTGAGTAGTGACACCTGACAGATTCAAAAATATCAGTAATTACAAGCATCTCCAGTGCAGCAACAGTATAGAGCACTTGATAGGAGCAGTGAGGTATAGATAAACAGCTAAGAGATCAAGATCAATTCATTCCTAACCATGAGAGAAACATCAGGGAAAACTCCCCGTCCCTAGTTAAGCATGTGTCTTACAGCAAAGGAAAATACAGTAGGAATTTTACTTACTGGTTCTGCTCCATCTTCTTGGAGCATTATCCGTACTGACCGCCACCTTCACAGAAAGGCCAATTTGAAAGATAAGACTTAAAAGAACAATTTAAAAGACATCTCTATGTTATCACTATTTTGTATGCTTACTCTTATTTCAAATTAAGTACTAAAAGTTAAAACCAAAAATTATACTGTTCCTGCCACAGGCTGTCCAGTTTTCTGAGAACAAAACATATGTGTTACAAAAACCTCAACTAGGAAAATGTTAATTTATAAATTGCAATCACTAATAATTTGCTATTTATTAATTATATTTATATCATTAGAAAAGAATAAGCACTTGTCTCAATTGGTCCTTTTCTTAATTTCTAAAGTATATTCAAACCAGATAGGGATAATGCCAAGACTAAAATGAGTGAATCAAAATATCTGCCGAGAGTTTTGCGTAAGAAGGAAGAAGAGCAATATGAGAAAATAATTCTGAGCACGTAGACAACTCAGTATTTAAAAACCAAGTCTGTTAAATGGGAACAATTCCAGCTGTAAGAATTTTAGTTCAAAGCATGTATGCAAGTGTGACAGCACGGGGCGCGCGCTGCCAGCTGTGGCAGCCTACAGGTCAAGGACAAAACCAACCACTGACTTGAACAACTTGTCAGTCCAGTCACTTCGGACAAAAGTTCCAGTGGATATAAAACATGGACCCAAACACAGTCCATTCCCCAAGCCCCCACCAAACAACAGTTGCTTTACATACGAAGAGACATCAACTTCCGAAAATGAAGATCTGTATCTCAAAGTAGTTTGTGTACTGCAAATACAAGAGGGGGCAAACTGACAAAAAGTGCAGAACTATTTAAAATTAAAAGCCTTATAAAACTAAAGTTTTAACATATTTAAAGTAGAATTTACCCTTATGCTAAAAGCTCTGTTGCCGAAATTACTTCACTTTACCCTTACTCTAATACTTTCAGTATAAATCTTAGAAGCAATAGTTAACAGCTACATTAAAGGTTAAGCCTAAAAATTTGTAAAAACATTGAAGATTTACTTATTCTGACCGATGAGGTGGAAGGGTGATTTGTCATGAATTTTTCTTGAACATACAGAAGGGCACTGAGCACACGCAGGAGATTTTTATCTTGTGGTTTCTGTAAGCGAGGCAGAAGAACGCAAGGACTCCTGTAAACTTCAGGCTGCGTGCCCCACTAAAGCAGCAGTATTTCATAAGAGCTATTAAAAAAAGATCTTCTAAGGCGTGGAGAGAACTACGTGTTTAAAATATGAGCACCTCAACACACCCAAAAGGTGTGTACGCTGGAAATCGTTACCTCATGCCTGCATCCCATCATCATCCACATGTGAATGTAGCTCCAGCTTGTGTAAACTGCCGTTACCAGGTTACTGGCTTTTAACCTCACAGCGGGAGGAAGCATGAAGAAAGTACAGTAACAATATATGTATTTTCTCCTATAATATATGGGGAAAAAATAAATAAAAAGCCTTTCATTTTAGCATACAAGGAGCATTTACCTTGACCACTGTTTTCCAAATGCAACCAGATAAACTGAACCTCTATATGCTGCAAAACGTGTTTTTTTTTTTCAGTCTCTTGGAAGACAAGCAGGTCATACAGACACTTGGGTTTTCCCTTCCTGCAAATTTTAGAGAAAAAAAAAGGAAATCAGTATAAAAGCTTTAGCTACAAAAAGCCTGGGGTTTCCTTAAGCAGTCAAATGCAGAGTTGTACTGATATCATATACCATAAGGATCTTTGGGAAACACATACTACTCTGCAAAGCCAAGAATTTTAAAGAGTAAGTTCAGTCCCTGAAGTTATCTTACAAATCCACCTTTGAACATCCCCCCTGCACAAGGCTTTTCTTAGATACTTGAAAACACTTTGCTTTACCATTTATCTCACTCGCCTTGGAAGATGTTTCTCCTGCATTTATACAAGGGCAAACAAATGCTTTACCAGCTCCAATGAATACTGTTAAGTCGAGTACTCCCTCTGTTGGCAGTGCCGCTAATGTACAGCCATTTCACCTACAGGCCACTCTGGAGACAACTAAAAGAAAGTGTTAACAGAATTAATCAGAAGAATTACAACACTTAAATTTTCAAAGTGGGCAATTCTTCAGATTATGAGAAGTGGATGGTATGGCAAGGTTCTATTTAAGTAGCTAACATAATTATAACAGCTTCTTGATTATGGAAACCTGAACCCAATCGTTGTGACCCTTCTTAAAATATTTAACTTTATTCATCCTCATTTTAATCAGCTTGCTTTTCTAACTATCTTCAGCAGCAGTTTAACGGCTTAGGACTCCAATTAGATTTTTTTTAATATAAAAACTCATTTATTAAACCTCTGTACACAACAATGAACATATATGTACAGCAAGTTTACACGAAGGATGATGTTACAAAAGATACAGTGGCAATTTAAAACCGACCCACATAAATAATTTATAAAAATATCTGAATTGGTGAAGATAATGCTGGTAATCCCTGATTATTTTCATCCAATTCCCAGGATTTTGATGTGGGAAATCTTAATGTCAGACCATTTAAAAAACATTCTGAATATATTAAACTTATCTACAGGATAATTAGCAAAACGTATAAAGTGTAAATTATTGTACAAAGGACAATTATAAAAAAATCACCAATCCACCTGAAACTCAAGAACAATATAAATCTTAGCCAAAGTAACGAACAGCAAACTCACAAACTCCTCTTTTTAGAGTTTCACATATTGGCAAGTAAATTCCTCTGAACATATCAACAGTCCTATTATTCCTTAGTGGAAGGATGCAACTTGGAAAATTCTGCTCTACTTTCTGGCTGCGTTGGTGGTCCTGGTCAAGATGGAAGCCCTGCACTGACTTCAGTTCCAAGGAAGAACGGGGCAGAACTGGATCTGATTTCCCCTCCTCACAAAAGGATAGGAAATGTTACCCAAGTTTGTAAGACTGGAGAAGGAAGGAAAAGGAAGTAGGGATCTGGACATAACGAAACAAAGGAAGACCAATTAAGTCTTTTTTTTCTGCTGGTTTCTTGGGGAATTTTTTAACACACTTCTTATTCGTAGATAAACCCCTGTTGATTCTGCCATATTTTCAAATTCGAATGGTGTTATGCCCGCAGCAAACTTGCTCATATCAGGAACAAGACTGGAGTTTTTTGCAGACGATTCGTTGCTTGTGACCACTTTATTACCACCTGTACTTTCTCCATTGTTAACCTCATTGTTGGGTGCAGGCACGGCGTTATCCAGCAAGCCTTCAGAATCTGCATTATCTGTATTTCCCTGTAAATTAAGTAAACTATCCCCTGGATTAGGACTAGTTATAGAATGTTCATTTTCCGCTGTCTGTTCACCGATGTTGGAAACTCGAGTTTCCACTGTAATCACCTTATCAGAAGATCTTACTTCTGCAACAAGATCTACTTCGTTCCTGGATGGCGATGACGTAACAGAATTTCCAGTTAAAGGTGTATCGACAGGGATGTCGGAGTCGCTGTTAGTGCTTTCCGCCTGCTCTAGCGCTGCCCAGATTAACCGCTGCTGTTCCTCCAGCTCTTCCAAGGTCAGGGTATCCTCATCCATGACTGAGTCCACTACTTTCGGCTGAGGAATATCGCTGGAAGGATTCGATGATGGAGTAGTCCTAGGAAGAGGAGGTGTTCCTTGTGGTAAAGGAGGAGGAGTTGACATCGATGGACAGCCAGGTGGCAGCGGAGGTTGGAAGTGAAAACTGTTAGGAGCTTGAGATCTTTTTGACACTTCCAGATCTAGAATCAGATTGACAGACATCTGTTAGAACCCAAAAAGAACATGAAGCCCCAATGCTGTGATTTACTAGCAGACTTATGTCTTCTTATCCTTGGCTTTCAGTAAGGATAGAAGAAACTTTTTGAACTTTTTACTATCCATCAAACTATGCTTTCATAGAACCATAGAATGGCCTAGGCTGGAAGGGACCTTAGAGATCATTTTGGGGGATTTTAACTCTCCTAGCCATTCAAGAAAAAAAACCAAAACAACAACCCACAACAAAAAAAAACACCAAACTCTTGAAAGTATTGAGAACAAACTTATTCCACACTGAGACACGCTGAAAGATTTCCTCACAGGAAATCAAAAAGAAAAGCCAGAAGCTTCTCCAGCTATTCTAATATTCAAACGCTAAGTACTCCTGTGATTTTGACTCATCTTTAAAAAGTTGTAAACTTGTAACTTCCTGCATTATTTCATCCAAATATTTAAGGATTTGAAGGTCTTCATAAGGGATGTTTCTTTAGGATACACCTGAAGTAAATAGGTCGAATTTGTAACCCAACGTTCCAATTGCTCCAGGCACACCTGAAACCTCTGGCTTGGTATTGGAAGATACGACAATCACAGCACCACAGAATCTTTATTGTAGTAGGTTCAAACACAGTTACAGATGGACACTGCTACAAAAGTTACCAGTTATGTTAATTTTCACAGAAATGCTAGCAGTTACACTAATTTTCATCATAACGAATACTAACACGATGGTTTCTCTTTCTGAAGACCAACATTTCAATTTACAGCAAGTTACTCTGGAAGTAAAAATTGAAACTAGGAAAAAAATTGCAGAATTACTATACCAGAATCTAAGTCCATGTCAGCTGCTGGTACCTCCAAATTGTCTTCTTTCAGTCGTTTTGCATGATGAGACTTTGACTGAGGTGCAGCTCTTTTATTGCTAGATTTTGGGCTTGGCTGAAAAAAAAACATCCAGGAAAACAAAAGAAACTAATATTAAATTGTACAAGGCAACATTTCCAGTTATAAGAGCATATTTGAACTTCATAACTATGCAATCATTTGCCAACCCAGTGTTAAACTAAGCATTCAAGTTCGAGACATTTAATGCAACTGAACAGAACTGTAATCTTGTTCAAGTGGCAAAAGGAAAGACCACCTGCATTCCCAACGCAGGGATTACAACTGAGTTTCCACCCGGACACCTAGATCTTAAGAGACCATCACCACTCAAATATTGAATATTTCTTCCCAGCAAGCTCAGAATTTACTGTTTAATTCCAGAGAGCATTAACCCTTGGGACTGAGAGCAGAGCACAGATCTTCCATCCTTAACTGGGAGTATTTGCAGTAGGTAACACTAGGCTAGAGTCACATCAGAGAAGGCCCGAGAATGCTACAAGACACAACTACCATGTGTTTTCTCAAGTCACTGTAATAACATTACTGTAAATCACGACTATGGCAAGTAAGCATTTCACTTATTAGGGAAGTCTGGAACTACGATGATTTTTAGGCTGTAGAACTTCATAGCAACCTTTTTTCACATCCGTTTTTTAAAATATTGTGCAATTGAGACCCGCTTATGTTAAGTTTCTCAACATGAAGCTTCTTTTTGTCAGAATAGATAAGCCAAGCATCTGCTTTCCACACCTGGTAGCGTCAATAAGCCCCCCTGGGCAAAGAAGATATAAACAAGAGATCATCTACTAGCTACCAAAGAGTTTTTTGCAAATAACAAAGAGACGTAGTTACCGCATGAAAATTAGAAAGGTAGTTAGCAAAAACATCCTTCTGTTGTGATGGCTGCATGGGAATGGAACCAAATAGCTCCCATTCCTACAGAAAAAATAAAACAGAAAAAATGATGCATATGGTTGGCTGATAACGCAACAGTAAAACTTAAAGAGAAACACAGAGATTAACAAGCCAAGATGAATTCAAGTGCTCATCAAAAGCCTCATTTATCAAAGCAGAAGCTTAAACCAGAGTACTCTCACCTGTAAACACACTCAAGTGATGCAGGGCACTATGACTGGGTAGTAGGAACAATAATTTGTTTTTTAAAAAAAAAAATCACCACCTTTACAAAACATCTTGTTAATCATTTCCTAGCAACTACTCTTCGACATTTGTAACACAACTACAAACTTCCCCTTGAAATAATGGTTCAGACAAAAAAGGCTAACTTTAGAAAACTTAATTTTTAGTGAAAACTGAAAAAAAACTTGAGGACCCAATTTCAGTTCAGAACACTGAATGAAAAAACCCACACATATGGAGGCCACTAAATGGGCTGAAATTGTAAAGAAAATGTACAGGCATTAAGATTAGTGATGGAAGTTCAAAATGTTTCTGAAAACAGAAGTGCAGCAGAAGCCACAGGAGATTTCTTGTGACCGCTCGGCTTAAGAAGGCACCCACTGCCTGGGTCTTCTGGAAGGAAGAAGCATTCATATGTGAAGTTCTGTGTTTGAAAAATCAAATCAATCAATCAATCAAACTATCCTTCTTGGCTCCTGTTGCTCTCAATAATGGAAATAATCCCCAAAGAAGCACTATTAGACCCTACCCACAAGAGCTGTTAGAGCTGTCAGACAGATGGATGTCCCATCGATTATCTCAACAGCCTCCAGCTCTAAAAAAGGTGCTTAAAAATAAGTTGAAGTAAAACTGTCAGATGCAGAAGACGAAATGTTAAAACTTGGCTAAAAGCAATTAATGTTATGCAGCATGTTGTTCAGAAGGTAGAGGACAGCCACTTACATCTGGGAACCCACTTGGAGTGGATACATTAAAGCCGGGGTAATTTATCAACTTGGAGACATCGTAAGTGATACGTTTTGATTGGCACGATCCTTCCTCTTCTGATCCACCACCATCTATAAGGAAACATAATTATTACTGATGCTAATCAAGAACATTGCTGAAAAAGTCCACAGGATTTAAGAAGAGAGTTTTGGGGTTTGGAACGTACGTATTGATAGAAGGGCCGTAATCCAGCCCGCACATTGCAAACTGCGTTCCCACAACACACGCCTCACCTTTTCCATCGTAAAGTGCAAGTCCCGAGTGCTCCATTTCAGCCTCCTTGAGCCAGCCGGGAGGATAACCCAGCTGCCGCATGCGATATATAAACGGAGGAAGATTCTTATCCGTGACACCAAGCGCATCTTGAAGTTCCCCACTAAGTTAAGAAAGCAAACAGAAAGCAATACATCCTCTAGTAAAATCTGTAATTGAGTTTTGACCTCAGTTATGAACATTTTAGTCAATTTTAAACAGTCAGGTTAAAATAATTTAGTCTTAGCTCAAACTACATCACCCATCAACCCCAGATGGGACAACTTTAGGTAAAAACTATCTCTGATATTAAGGTAACTTCTAATGCTTATTTCTTGTGGGCTTAAACATTTAATGAGAATTAACTCTTGAGAACAACTTACTACTTCTGATTCATGGCCTTAACTGTAGCTATCGTGACTGAAAAGGTGGAACTTAACACAACACTAAATTTATGAGTTGGTTCTTTGGAGACGGCTACAGCCATCTTACAACTTTTTTAAAAACATTTTCAATAGAGAGAAAACGAGGGACACTTAAAGATCAAAATTTTCAGAGTTTTGCATGCATTTTTAGTTTATTAGGAACCTAACAGATTGGCAATTCGAGTAGCCAGACAACATTTATCTCCCTGCATTAGGAAAGTACCATGGGAAAGGGCAGGACTATTAAGGTAGCAACGAGTTTTCATTTGAAAAATACCTGTACAATTTATTAAACTAAATTCATCAAATGAATTTGAACATGATATACCCATAGCTAAGAGTTACTATCTGTAAAGTAACATGCGCCACTCCAGAGGTAGAAAAGGTATTCCAGAAAAGCAGTGCAACAGCTAATGGAAAGAAAAAGAGATACCTAATTACTCCTGGTTTAAATTTTCCAAACCTCTCTTCTACTTCTTCTTCATGATAGCGCTGCTGAAAATTCTGATTGCTTGCTTCACCATAAGCTTCCATAAACTCCTTTCTCTTCTCACTTATACGAGCTGCATTCCGTGGCTTAAAGACAATACAATGGGGAAGTTTAGGTTTGAACCATTTCCAATTTATGCACTCTCACCCGACACAAAACTGGTACTCCTTGCTCTCAGCACACTTAATTGTTTGTCACATGGCCATGTGATACAAGCTGTAATGAAAACTATATAGCAAAAAACCAACAGTACTCGCACTGGATCTAGCAGAGCTCTAAAACAGGAGGAAAGACTCCTTAGACTGAAAAACAACCCTCCATAAATTGAAGGGCAAACCATTACGCTACAAAATCAATTTATGTTCTCATTTAGTATGTTCAAATTTGGAAGTAGGAACAGTATAATCTAATCAACAGACATGAATAACCATTTGTACATCCTGACCCCAACATGTGTAATTACTTCTTTTTTTTAAATGGTGCAGTTACACTGAAACATTTCTTGGAGAGCAGCATTTTTCTGAGTACTAATACAAACTTCACCTGTGGACAGTCTTTCATTTGATGGTCTTCAGAACCACAATTGAAACAATGCGATTTTGGCCTGCTTAAAAAAAATGCACAACAGATTAAACCTGAAAATTATTTTGCAATGTAAAATGCACTTAATTATTTTAAATCTTGTTAGATTTTCAGTTTTATACTTGGAAAGAAAAAACACATAAGCATTGCTTGCTGTCTTCTGCTTCTCTCAAATTGACTGCTTCATGTCAATCTCCACAACAAACAGAACATTATCTATTTCACAGTCCCAAGAACATACAAAAAAAAAGAGCAAAACGCAGGCATGACATTGGGGGAGGGGGAAGAATAAATGACAGCATATGTAAAAAAAGGAAAGAAAGAGAACTAAAACTACAGAGGAAAAGTAGTACTTCCAGGCAGAAATGGAGCTTTTCTATTCCGTGAGTAGACATAAAGCTACTCCTTTAAGAGTGAACAGAAAAGTCATAGAATAATCCAGGTTCGATGTCAGGAGATCTCTAACCCAGTCCCTTAATCAAAGGTGGGTCAGCTACAAGACCAGACCAGGTTACTCAGGGCTTTATCCACTTGGATTTTGAATATCTCTCAGGATGGAGACTGCGTGACCTCTCCAGACAACATAATCCAATAGTTTACTGTCCTAAAGGTGGAAAAGCTTTTCCTTGTATCATGCTGCAGAGCGGAGAGAATTCACTGAAGGATTTCTGCTTCTCATTAAATATGTAATTGTTTACTTAAATTGTGCCAATAAATGAAGACAAACCCAGCATACTAAATAAAGCTTATGCTATGTCCAGAAGGAAAGTGAAGATGTGAAAACAATACTTTTAACTCTAGAGAACAGATAAGGAACCCCTTGATTTAACATGCCTGGAGTACACGAACACCTCACATTCTCCTTTTATGCTTGTATCAGAAGTCTGAGCCTTTTTATAATACTGAGAATCAGTTACCAGTAGAAACAAGTAGGAAAGCCCGACTTCTTCTCTGGGAAGTCCCTGTCTGCAGTTTGCACAAGTCAGGCAGACTGTGAAACTCTGCGCTGAAAACCTGGAATACAGCTGCAGCTGGCTTCAAGTTGAATTCTCCCTGTAAATCCATATCGCAGCAGCAAACATTTTCAGCATTACACTGGAGAGAAGTCACAATCTCTTACAAGGTTTTTAGAGAAAGATTTCTTTTCTGAACACTTTTTTTTAAAAACTGAATTAGGGTAAGAACCAGAGGTAGAGACAAAAACAGTGACACGAGTATCCAGGGTAATCCCCACCCGTGCGCACATTCCAATCTCTTCAAGCCTCTAGTAAGAAAGTGAAGTGTGCCTTCTGCTTCATCTTCACGTAGCATTCAAACAGAAGCCTTATGTGGCGACCCAAGCATTTTATCACCATCCCATATCACAAGCACAAACCTTCAATCTGCTTTCCAATCAGATGGCAGCATTTCTAATCAAACTAGAGTTTAACTCAGCATGCCCCTTTGTCTTAGGATTTCCCACTAAAAGCTTGCCTGGTCTTCACTGTATCTGAAATCAGTAACTTTAGATGCTACAAAGATCACACAAGCTGTCATGTGGAAACTCAAATTCACTTTACATTGGATCTCACATAAAACTTATGCAATCACCTCTAAGATCAGTGTGTCTAAAAAGTAAAATAAGCCAGATAGTTGTTCTACAAAACAGTAAGAATGATGACAGTACACCAGTACAAGGATGACAACGCAATCACTAAAAAGGCAACCAACAGAAGAACTAAGCATAAACTCCAGAAAGTTTTTACACATTGATTTTAGGCCCTTCCTAAAGGAAGTCAATGAACAAGAGAGACCCACTGACTGTAAATCTCAGCACTGGTTTATTTAATTTCAACTCATTGCTCAGGGGTTTATTATACTGGGCAATAATCACAGTGTACATCTGAACTTTTCAGCTCAAAACTTTATATTTAAGAATAATACAAACCTTTTTGGTTTTACTTGTATTTCTTGTCCATCTAGGGAGAGAATCTGGCTGAAAACTTGCTGATATCTTTAGATTTCAATAAGGAATTGCTACTGGATGAAGCAAAATTTCAATCTTGTTTAAAATATCAGTGACAAATCTAATCGTGCTTTGAATAAAATACTGACTCTTCTGGATTAAGTTACAGGTGGGTCCTTGATATGAAGTTCATACTATAAACTATAAAACTATATGTACTACCAAGTATTTGCAAAGATGGAGTTGTTTTGTTTCCTCCTGCACAATCTGTATCCAATGATCAATTTCGTTCTTTATCAGCACTTGCTAAGACTACAACCCTCTCGTTTACAGGCAGAAGTTTCACTCTAATAATTCCGATGTGCTTCACAGCAATCTTATTAATAACATATTTTGGTAGACTTTCAAAAACATAACTCAGTTCTCAAGTAGGTGGAGACAGGTCATATCTTACTACTTGTGTTGGCTTTTGGACTGCAGCGTGTCAGCTGCTCTGCCCATTTGTCTAAAAATGTACAAGAAGACAAGAGGGCTGCGAGCGAACCGGCACGGCACGACTACGAGGTTCAG